CGTAACAAAATGTTTTCAAAGTTGAAACATAATTTTTTAATCAGAGTAACATTTTAAAGTCACTAGTAAAGTGCACGTGCATCGCACGTGGTGATAAATGTTTTTTGCCGTTGAATTCAGTAAAATTGATTGATTATTTAATTAAACATATCATTGCAGGAATGAAGTAAAATATAGAATAAATGAGCTTCTAATATTTTTTTTAAATAACATAATGATGTCCTAATATAAAAAGAATGAAATAACATATTACAACTCCAACAAAAATATAGTCTCTAATGGAAAAAAAATACTAAACAACTAAATAAGGACCTAATGAATATTATAGATGTATTAGTTATTTTATTTAATTATAATAGATGATTAAAGAGTGATTTTTTTCATTTTGGTTCTGACATTTTCATAACAAACATTAATACTAGTTGTAGTCCAGTACATCAATAGTGTTGCAAATTTTTTCTTAATTCATTTGACAAAACGTCTACATTATTCACTAACATATAAATATACTGGCCAAACATATAATCAAACTTCATTATTGTATGATCTTAAAAGGTATTCAATCACCGATTTGTCTGAAGAAAAATTTATCATGACATGAATGATTTTTTTCAATGTTATTTATTTGGAAGGCAAACGAACTATATAACCTATTGTTTGCAAATCATTGACCATCTTGGTTGTTGCAATAACTTTAGTGTTGTTTATCATAATATCTTTCACTACAGTACTTATGTGCCTAATAACATCTTTAATGTTTTCATTGTCCAATTTATTTTTTTGCATCATACATAATGCTTCGTACATTCAAGATAAAGATCCTTTCTTGGAAAAAAAAAATAGCAAAACAACAAAACAAAGCAAAACAATGAGACAATATTAAGAAAGATATCATTAATTAAAATATATGTAAGATAAGAATTAAAATTCTATTATATTATGATACTCTTAGTCGCTCTGTGAACTATATTATTACGCAGTTATTATTAACATTTACGTTATGTATTACAAAGTTTTTATTTGTTTAATTATTTAAAATTCTTGATAATCTAGGATCATATTTATGAGACCTAATTTCTTACGGAGTTCATATATTTAGACGTTAGCAAAAAAGAAAGTAGTAATTTTAAAAGACATTTGTTTCTAGATAGTAGTATTCATATTTCTCTAAGAAAATAAGTACTTTTATTTTTCCTATTGAATTACTATCGTGTATTTGTTTCTTATTATATTTACAAATAATATTTATTTATTAAAAGAACTAGATCACATTGATATGAATTGCGTCATTTTTTTTGTACATACTTTATATAATGAAGTTGCAATCAAATATCTTATTTATTAGACTACAACTAATATAATCAAGTAAGATAAATACTATTTAATATTACTTCTTTATTCATTTATAATAATAATAATATATTTGAAAAAAATGTACTTTTGTACTGGTTAGAAGATTAAAAAGTTTATGATTTTTTCATTGTTTCATAAAATATTATGTAATTACCTCATTTTCGTATTCGTTGAAAATATATGTTATATGTTACAATAATTAAGGTGTTTCTTTCATGCAATAACTGATAATTGTTTAAAATATAACTCATTTATTTCTCATTTTAATTCACATAGTTAATATTGGTAATAGTTGTAAGTTTACATACATTTTGTATGTTTTTCTTATTTTTATGATTAGAACCCTCCTTTTCAACTAAAATCCCTTTATATGTCATCATCCATTGATATCGGAGGCCAATTTCCATAGTGGCTTCAAATATAAAAATCACTACACTATTTGCATCTATCTAATTGTAGCATTTTAGGCATGCTGCCGAGATGGCTCCATTCCATAACAAATCTGACTGAGTTAGACCTATCCAACAACCATATTGATGGATCTATTCCAAATCTTCCTCACTGACTTGATGGGTCCCAATTTGTCTCATAATCATCTAAGAGGACAAATCCCATTGAAGATCGGAGATATGGTCCCTCACGAATCACTTGATCTTTCCAACAACTATTTGTTTGGAACAATTCCAGAGAGCTTATCGAAGTTGACCTTTCTGAGTCATTTGAACTTGTCCAACAATAATTTGTCTGGGCGTATCCCGATGGGACCTCAACTTCAAACACTCAACGGAAGTTCGGATTATGAGGGAAACCCTGGACTATGTGGGGCACCATTGGCCCAACAATGCTAAGTTAATAAAACATCGACAAAAGGTAAAAATAGTGGGGAGCATGGTGATGATGGAAATTCAGCCGATAAGTTATACCTCTATGAATTTGTAGTTGGTGGTTTTGCCATTGGA